ACTATTGTGATTCCATTATGTTTATCAGAGATTGTAATGCTTGCCATAACCTTATGAGGTAGATATTATTGTAACCTCATCTTGGAGAACACACAGTTGGGGTATAGAATAGCAAAGTCAGGTATCCAGGGTCATTTAGCTGGGAAGCAGGGGAGCTAAGATCCAATCACATGGGCAGAGCCACATGTAGGAGGTAGTTTATGGAAAAATAGAACTGAAAAATGAGTTTACTTTGGCACAGTGTTTTTGCAATCCATGCATAGGATTTTCCATGATTTGTTTTGTATACCCAAGTGATCCTGTAAGTAATAATATCCTGGTTGTGACATGTTGCTGAACATTGCCATCTCTAGCACCACTTCTCCCACTTTGCAGCATTTTTCAACAGGCACCTTATTCACCACTCACCCAGTCTCCATATGTCTAGGATGTGTTAGTTCAGATATTGGTAAAGGTTGGTCTCTGCGTGTGTGTTGCAGGTTGGGGCCAGTGGTGATTTAACAGTGGGAATAGAAACTCAAGGTCTTATCCTTAGAACCCTTCATCTTTTATTTCTGCACACAAGTTTGGGGGCCTAAAACAGTGCTGAATGATTACTTAATATATATTGCATTTAGGCAAGAGGTTTATTTTATTTCTTTGAAAGGCAGAGTTAGAGAAACAAGGGAAGAAACACAAGGAATCATCCATCTGCTAATTCGTTCTAGCAACAATCAGGTCTAGGCCAGGCCAAAGGCAACAGGCAGGAACTTCTGGGTCTCCCAAGTGAACACAGGACCCCAAGCACTTGGGCCATCATCCATTGTCCTCCCGGGCATGTTATTAAGGAGCTGGATAGGAAGTGGAACAGCCAGGACTCAACTGGCACCTGTATGAGATGGTGGGTAAAGGCAGCAGGTTAACCTGCTCTGCCACATGCTGGCCCTATGCATGCCTATTAACAGTTCCTCCAAGGTGAGCTGTAGTACTTTTTGTGGGCAGAGATCATGGCTTTCTCCCTGTGTCTGTAGCAGTTAGCACAGGTGACCAGTATAGGAGTTTGGCACATGTTTGTATGTATCAATGACCATATCCACCTCCACTGATCGCAACCACCTGTGGGTGAGTACCCCCAAACCCTTTACTCATGCTGGGTGCATTCTAAGATTTCCAGTAGGAGGTTGAAACCACAGATAGTCCTGAAACTGCTATGCTTACCCTATACATACTTACACAAATTCAATGCCTTTCCATCTTAAAGTCTTATCACACGCTGTAACCATACTTGTTTAGTTCCAAGTGTGACAACAAAACTCACATGAATTTTCTTTTGCTTCACAGCTTTATGGTAGGAAAGTCCTTCTTTCTGTAAATCTTAACAACCTCAATATGATATTTACCCTTTATTAAGTTGGTAATTGTAAGCTTTTTATGTGAAAGAAGCACTTTTTGGCATCCTTTGTCATACCCGAGTTGTTAACATCACTCACTAGCCTTGTGCTTTGAGACCTTTAAGTAAAATAAAGGCTACGTGAACATAAATACTGCAGCATCAGGGCAGTTAACCTAATGGCTAGCAGGTAGGTACTAGGGTGGCATAGAGTGGTTGTCATATAATTCTGTAAAACTGTCCCCGAAGGTTGTCTATTTAAAACCAATGCATTGGGCCCATCACGATAGCATACTGGCTTAAGTCCTCACCTTGCATGCGCCAGGATCCCATATGGATGCCGGTTCATGTCCCAGCTGCTCACTTGCTCTTCAGCTCTCTGCTTGTGGCCTGGAAAGACAATAGAGGATGGCCCAAATCCTTGGGACCCTGCACCTGCATGGGAAACCCAGAAGAGGCTCTTGGCTCCTGGCTTTGGACCAGTTCAGCTCTGGACATTGCAGCCACTTGGGGACTGAACCAGCTGATGGAAGATCTTTCTGTCTTTCCTTCCATCTGTAGATCTGACTTAACCAATTAAAAAAAATTATTAAAAAGTTACTTGAAACCAATGCATTTTTTTATTTCCAGAATTTTTATTTAATATTTCATGCTGTTCTTGACCTCGGGCAACTGAAACTATGGAAAGTGAAACCATGGATGCCAGTGGGCGGCAGGGAGAGGGCTGTATACGAATGGTGGCAGACACTGGCCAGATGTGACTACTGGTGTGTGGTAGGCACTAACACCAGTTGGAATTCCCTGCTCTATGATAGCTGAACATCTTGCCATTATGCTCCATTTGGTAATACCCAGAACCATAAAATTATTTCATTTTTAAGGAGCTACTATAACTTCAGATGTGTATATACATTTTCTGAGTTTGCAACACTGTATGCCTGATGAAGACTGTCTGTTGGCTGCATCTGACCCATGACCAATCAATTCATGCTACAACCTCCCCCCTCCACCACTGCCCCAGTCAGCACACACATATTAATCTATTGGCACCTCTTTTTTGCTTATATCCGCTCTGAAGGCCAAAGGTGGCAGGAGAGCCACAGAATCATACCTGTGAGATACAAGAATAGAAGAAAGACAAGTGTGTTGTATTTCAGATCTCATAGAAGTTGAAGAAATGGGAATAAGAATTAAAAGTGAATTAACACTCCATGTATAGGTTAAGTGTTAACTTAAAAAAGCTCCATGGCCTAATAGCATTTAAATAAAATGAAATGCATTTCTTTACTTTGCCATTCCTAATTGTAAAATGTAGATCTCCAGAAGTGGGGAGTGTTTGCTGAAAGTTTCAAGGCTGGTTAGTGAGTCCTTAGGTCATGTTATCCTTTGTAGATCTGTCTCAAGGGAAACATTTTGGAAGCATTGGGTTGGATACTGCAGGAGCCAGTGGGCAGCTCTGAAGATATGATGTGGACAGTAGAATGGGTAAGGTCACCAGTGAGGGCACAGTAGGCCCATGGAGTAGCAAACAGAGCAGGCCACCTCATTCATCACCAGGTACTGCCTGCATATTCATCTTTTGAAAACAAATTAATATCTCAGCGTTGTTCCTCTGCTAACAACAAGCAAAGAAACAGCCTGAGGACTGCCCACCCCTTCCGGGCTAATGCTCTTGACTATCCCTGTGTGCTTTAACAACACCCTCAAATGTTACCAGGATGGCATTCAGCAACACACAGCAGCACAGCTGTCACCTTGCACACTGAATTTCATTGACAACACAGTTATAAAGCATCTGCTGTCCCTTGAGGGAAAAGGAGCCTACTCCTGCATGGACTTGTCCAACATTTACTGGCTCCATTTCTAAACCCTAGGCTGAATGCTCCACATGCTTTGTGAATCTCATAACGTGTCCAGGAAATGATGTGTGTGTGTATATATGTTTTATTTTTTTTTACTGTACCCATTTTATAGAGGAGAAGCTGTTTCGTGCTCATGAGCAGGTCTCTAGCTACTCAAACTGCCAAGTGTGCATGTGTGGACCTCAAGGCCTGAGCTCTTTCTGTCTAGTGATCATGTCCCTGGCTACACTGACTATCCTAAGATGTTACACTCTACTACATGGAAGCAAATTTCTGGGGGCAGAGGAAGGCAGACTAGAAATCCAGTTAAGGTCAATGCAGCTTGAACTTCATGGGGACTTGGGGTTTGATGGAAGGTCTTAGCAGCGTTCAGATTCCTGGTTGAGGTGATGTTTGGGGTGTGCTTCGCAGAGGCACATGCATGGCCTGAAGGTCACATGAGCGGTCCCCATCTGTGACCATTGGTTGATGTCACCAAATGGAGTGACCTCCATTTCAACTGTGTTGTAAGCTCTTAGGTTATCTTCCTTTTTTCCTTTCCTGGACTGTGAGCTCTTTAAGGAGAGAAACTGCCTGATTTTCCCAGAACTAGTGCTATGGCTGTGGTTTTAAAACATCACTATTTGTTGATTTGATGAATGAGTAACAAGTCAAGCAAGGCAGGTGCTCAAAACAGTGTGATGGAAACATTACAATGTAGTAAGCTCTTTCCCACCATCAGAGAACCTGGTTACCTCGCTGCATGTGGTGTTTTGTCCCTGTTGTTTATACAGGAAAATCTTGAGAAAGTTGATGAATACACACGTCTTAATTCTGTTTTTCCACAAACTGTTTGAAATTCCTTCATATCCTCTCTGTTCATCACTGGCCTTTCAGAATGCTTGATAAAGGCCAAAACCTTCCTGCTTAATATCAAACTTCATTTTCCAAGTTAGGTTGGATCTCGGTATGTGCGGCCATCGCTGAGGCGTTTGACACAGCCAGTTGCACAGATCAGAGCCTATACTCATGTATGTGGAATGGTTGCATTGGAGTGCACTAGAGACATAGTTGAGTATCTGCCCCAGGTGGCTCAGTCTTGATGAGATAATTCTCCATGCATTCAAAGGATGAAAGGAGAAGAAATCAAAATAGTGACAGGGACAAGGCAGGTAGAGTGGGCCAGGATCTGTCTACTATTTGGATGTGGGAGTTAAATGGGAAGAATGAGGGAAAAAAATTCAAAACCTTTGATCCCTGCTAATGGATTAAAGGATTCTGCCCAAGAGAGAAAGGGGAGAATTTCTCCTTACTCATAGCCCTCTCATCCTCACTTCAGTCTGAGCATGGAGAAGTGGTTTCCATGAATTTGTAGCTGAGGTGTGCCACAGAGGCAAATGGGTGGACAGGGGCAGCCATAGAGGAGACTGGAAGGGTCCAAAGGAAAGCTCTGCCCGCATCTATCCACAGAGGAGTTGTTCTCTGCTAAGAAGGGGACATTTAAGCGGAATGTCGTTTAAGCAGAATGACGTTTTGGTTGTACAGTTGTAAGTGCTCTGTTTGATGACAGGCTTGTTTGAATGGCGCATTTTATAACCACACACAACTCTTCCAAATACATGGTGTCTGTAGAATGTTCGGGTTGATGCATGAGTCCAGGGCTCAGAGTGTTTGCGCTTGGAGGGACTGGATCTTCTTTCTTAATAAGTCATCTTGGCATTTTGTCAGCAAGTTAATTTGCTTTTCTAAGAAACTAGCTGAATACTTCCTGTACTTTGTGCTATTCACAGATCTACAATGCAGTGAGAAGAGAAGAAGAAACAGAAAATACAGTTGGATCTCTTCTCCACTTCTTCACAAAGCTCCCGGCCTTGGAGACAGCCCTTGGCAGGATCAGCGTGGGTCCTTATTTGAAGCATTGTATCCGAGATCCTGTGTGTGGGTACCGTGCCACCTTGCAGAGGACTTCTGTCTCCCAGTACCTCGCCGGGTCTCTCCTGGAGGCCACCACGTCATTAGGAGCAAGAAGTGGCCTTCTCAGCACTTTTGCAGGTTCCACTGGACGAATGATGCTGAAAGGTAATGGCAGAAATTTCAGTTTCAACTTTTCATAGAGAGGAATATGAGTGACATCTGTTGATTCATTTGTCAGTGACTTGCATTCAAAGTGTCTGTTTCCAAAGCGGGAATGTCCCTTAAAGTATCAATATTCTGAAATCTAAGTATTAAGATTTTGCAGTTCACTTTTCAAAAGGAGTAAATGGTGACAATACCGTCTTTTTGGTGCTGCAGTATTTGTTTATTTTTAAAGAGATTTCATATATGCAAGGTTAAACCTGTGAGGCTTCCTGCCCTCTATCTGCTTCCCTTCACCTTTTTTTTTCTCTTAGTTTTTGTGATAACATACTTACAATTTATTTTACAGTCATAGGCTTTAATCCTTCCCTAAAGAAATAATTCAATAAGTAGAATGACTGTCGTTCCACAGGTATAGATAAGCAAGGACTATAGACAGTAATCACATGCCAAGTTGTCAGTTTCACTCATATACATTGTATTTTTGTGCTGCATATTTTAACTACCACAAATCAAAGAAAATATATATTTTTTAATTTCATTAAGCATAAGGGTTCTGTTTATATCCGTTTTGCTGCAGAAAGCAAGATTTCACTCCCTATGGCTGAGTAGTATTCCATGGTGTATGTGTGCCACACTTTTCTTACCCAGAGGCTTTCTCCTAGTGACAGTCCATGATTGATGTTAATTAATGTGATAAAACTACCAGGAAATAGTATGGTCTTGTGATCGCACCTAAAACCAATGGTGGTCAAGAAGAACGTAAAACGTAGGTGTACTTCTTAGACACAGTCAGTAGCTTCCCATTGACCAGAAGAGCCAGAAGACATCTTGCAGCAACTCCCACCTTAAAGGACAAGACAGGCAGGGGGTCCACTGCCAATGCAAGCCTTTGGGGAAGGGCTTCCTTGGCCTCAGAGCTTTCCATCTGCTCCCCACGAGTGGCAGAAGGCAGCCCAGAAATGGCAGTACACCAGGGAACTGCAGAGGCTTGTGCCCTCAACAGCTGTCCCAGGCCACTTGGCAGCCTTCCCTGGCAGGAAACTGCCAACCAGGCTGGGACCATGCAGAGCAGTGTCCAGCCCAGGAGCTGCCAAGAGCTTAGTCTGACGTCTGGCCATCTCTCTCAAGGAGAGTAGTGGCTCTTGTCCCTCTTGTCCCTGTTCAGTGAGCCCTGGGACCTGGAGCTAGTGAGCCAGTGACCTTCTTCCTTTATCTTCCTCCTCTCCTCTGTCTCTCACACAGTCTGTGCAAGTCTAAGAGGAATAATACCACCTGCTTAGCGCATTGGGGTCATATGTGTTTTCTGCAGACCTCTTCTCGACATTACTTTTTCTTATAAATGATGAGTAAAGGAAAGCACATGTTATAGACACGCTCATCTAAGAGGCTAGTTGGGTTTCTCTCCGCCCCTCTTTTTTTTGTTTGTTTTGCCCATTCAATATGTTGATTGAGTCTATATTATGTGCTGGGTGGTAAGAAAGGAATAAAACATCATTCCTATCCTTGTGGAGTATATGGGCTATCGGTGGTAGACACTTTTCCGTTCATGCAGGATGTAAGGTTTGTCCACTCTGCTGTGACTCCCAGACACTGCCAAGTTTGTGTTGTCTGTCATTGCTCTGCAGGAGGGTGAGCTGAGGTTAGTGTGTGGAATTTGCATTGGTACAATACCTCTGAGTGTGTTGAGGAGCTCATCCTGCGATGAACCTGTGTTTAATGGAGAGCCAGCAACACGTAGGTATTATGGGGGATCGGAAGGAATTTAAATCCATTTCCTTGCCTTCATGGTGTTTATGATCCTAAAGAGGAGGCCAGATTGGCATCCACCTAGTAATCAATGAATAGTAAGTAACTGCAGAGAGCCAAGGGTCAAATGATGGGGAAATTACTTTGAGTGATCACGAGGTTTGGAGAGAGAGTTCATGTTCTAGATGACAAATAACTTGGTCTGAAATGTGAGGCCTCAGAAAAAGAAAAAAAAAGTCACTTTGTCTCTGTTCATTACTATGAGATGGATCTCCAGGGCCCTCAGAGGAGACAGACATCCCTCCAGCCTTCCCCAGATGTTGGGGAGAAGCAAGGATGCCGACTGGTGCATCTGTTGCCCTGACAGCAGCTTGATTTTCATTGCTATTTGCAATTGCCCAGGGAAGAGAGCCTCATAGCTCCACCTTCCCAGCTCTGAGACCCGCTGCACTATCACTAATGTGGGATCTTGACATTGGCCGTCTGTGCAACCGTCAGAACTTCTCTCCCTCTTGCTGTATGTGTGGGCAGCTCCAGCTGAGTGATACTGTTAGCAGGTTGCCTTCTGCCTTTGCCTTACTTCTGGGCCTCTGGCCTGCTCATTCGGAGACCTTATTCAATATTAGCACCCTCTCCCATGAGGCTTTCAGAATCTCTATGTACCTCTGTTAAGCGCATAATGCTTCTGCATGACATGGAAGAAAATGCATCGAAAACCAGATGAGTTTTTTGGCTACAAAAAAAGAGAGGAAAGTTTGTGAGGTAAAGCCTGTGGTAATGAACTCAATTGAGCCATTCCACAATATAACATATTTCAACTCCTGGTGTTGTACAAACTAAATATGGTGTTGTACAAGCTAAATACTTGAGAAAGTTTGCGGGACATTAAATTTATTATTTTTAAATCTGAGCCATTCCACAGTGTGACATGTTTTCAACACCTGGTATTATACATAATAATATGAGGCTACTTTAGAAAATTTGTGGAACATGTTATTAGAAGCATGAATTTATTATTTTTTATTCCATGCATAACTCTCTTCAGAATACACATTTTCTGAATTTGATAAAAAGTGTTCTGTGCCAAGATAAACTCAAAATTTTTGTTCTTTTTTTAAAGATTAAAAAAATTTTTTTATTGGAAAGAAGATACAGAGAGAAAGATCTTCCATCCACTGGTTTACTCCCCAAGTAGCCGCTACAGCCAGAGCTGAGCCAATCTGAAGCCAGGAACCAGGTGCCTCTTCTGGGTCTCCCACTCAGGTGCAGGGTCCCAAGGCTTTGGGCCGTCCTTGACTGCTTTCCCAGATAACAAGCAAAGAGCTGGATGGGAAGTGGAGCAGCTGGGACATGAACCAGCACCCATATGGGATCCTGGCAATGCAAGGCGAAAATTTAGCACTAGGCTATCACATGGGGCCTTTTGTTCTGTTTTTGGGTTTTTTTTTCATGAACTTTTTGAAGTACCTTCACATATATCATTTTTAACAATTAAAATTTTTAATTTAAGTCATTCTTTGAAGTCACTGAATGTTCGTAATCCACAGGAGCCATAAAATATTCCAAATCCACAGGACAGCAGTTGGGTTGAGCTCTGATGCTCCTCCCTCTGCCTGAGGCCCTCAGCACGTACTGGCTGTTGAGATGAGCATGGCCGCCACTTTTTTCTGTCACTGTTTGTCCCACAGGATCACTTTAACTAACATCTTTTGACTTGGAGTCACTAAAGAAAATCTGGAAGAGGGTGTGTGTGCTACACCATCAGTCTCCATGCTTAAGTGGGTTGTGTTCTGGAAGTTCATTTCTCCAACAACTTGAAAGACTAAAGAATGATTTGGAATGTGGTAATTTGGTACCAGACTCTAGTCCTCAAAAACCTCATTAAGCCCTAAGACGCTTGAAATCTACATGTGTTCCCTGGAATAAAGGGAGAAGTACATTGTGGAAATACTGAGGCTCAACTTCCAAACTGAATATTGCTATTAATAAGATGATAAAATGGCAACACTTCTCGTTGAGGGGAAATATTTATTTCAAAAGCGAAGAGACACAGAGAAGTCTTCTATTTACTGGTGCACTCCCTAAGTGGTTGCAACAGCCAGAATTTGGCCAGGTCTGATTCGGGACTCTCCCACGTGGGTGTCAGGGACCCAGGACTCACACCATCACCTGCATCCTCTCAGGATCCATCAGCAGGAAGCTGGCTGACAGCTTCTGCACAGTATATGGCAGTCCCAGTTGTGGCTTTACCTCTGTGCCAGACACCATCTCTGCGAGGAAATAATTTAATTATAGATGAACAAATGTTAAGGTTTTCCTGGGAAATTGAAGCCAATTTTCAGCTGTTTCAGAGATTTTAGATGATACCAGCTATAGTTCTTTGTTGTGGTCAGTTATACTTTGAAACACATGCTTGTATGAATTAGAAATTTTTTAAAACTTCATTTGAAAAGCAGAATTAGATGGTGAGATATACACAGTCCATGTGGATTGTGGGTGGCTGGAGCTCAAGACGTGTGGCCATTGTCTGCTGCTGTCCCAGATGCCTTAGCAGGGAGCTGGATGGGCAGTCGGGCAACCGGGACTCAAACCGGCGCCCTTATGGCATGGCTGCATTACAGACAGTGACTTAACTGGCTGTTATACATTGTAATAGAATTTTTAATGGGTTTTTATAAAGGACTGAATAGCAGAAGGGGTTACACAAGTTTCATGATTTTTTTTTCCTGGAGAGAAATGGAAAGAAATGGAGTCAGAACTGTTGGAGGACTCATATTGAAGTAGATGAAGTTGGAATATCTGGAGAGAGATGAGGCGGGAGAAAGACCAATGCTGTAGAGTTTCATTTTCATGAGGTACTCAGAGCATTCAAAACCAAAGCGGGAAGGTGGCCAGGACTGTGGCCGGTGGAGATGCCGAGCCAGTGCTCTGCTGGGACAACAGGATTCAGTGTTGCCAGATGGAAAGAATTGTAGAGACGGATGGTGGGGAAGGTTGCACAATTGTGTAAATGTATTTCATGTTGCTGTTTACTTTAATGTGCTAAGCTGGTTGGTTTCATAGTGTGTGTCTGGCCTTCACAGAAAAGAATTCAAAGAAAAAGTGAGGGGTGAGCCATGTGATGTTGGTCTCTGGCCCAGGCATATTGAAATGTTAGGAGTCCTCTTGTGGAAGTGGTCATAATTTCATGACAGGATGTGGAACAGCCTTGTAGCAAGTGAGACAAGAAAATGTCCAATGTGACGGCCAGTCAG